CTCGCGCGGCTGCATTCTGGACAAGCTGAAGTCTCCGAATGCTCTTCAAGGGCTGCCCCATGTAGAGCGCGCATGCGCTCGTCAGAGCCACAACCAGGAAGAGGAGCTGCCCAGGTGGCATGCACATGCCGGGAAATGAACTTCCAGTTCCTGGCACGCATGCAGTTCTTCTGGTTACTGATGCACATGCATGCCTGACAATCATCTGGCTAGCACACATGCACATGCCAAAAAATGAAAGACCTGTTCTTCCTGTTTCTGGCACTGCCGCATGCACGAAGGCCAGCTGATCATTGTATGCACATGCGTGCCAGAAATGGCATGCAGAAAAGGCCGCATGTGCCAGGTGACATGGCTCCGTGTGCCAATTCTGGCATAGGTTCACCATCACAAATGTGGAGGATAGGGGAAAGATATACAGGTCATCCTCAACTTACAAGTTTATTTTATGACGGTTTGAATTTACAACAGCACTGAAAAAAGTGACTTGTGACCATGTTTCACACTTAATGACCATGACAGTATCTCCAGGGTCATGTGATTTACATTTGGAGGCTTGACAACTGGTTCATACTTATGGCGATGTTGGGGTCACGTGTGCAGCCTTCTGACAAGCAAAGTCAGAAAAGTCAAAATCCAGATTCACTTAAACTTAAATTCACTTAAGTTACTAATTTAACAACTTCAGTGATTCATTTAACAAATCTGGCAGGAAAATGGGGGCAGCATAAATTTTGGGCTCAATTGTGGCTGTAACCTGAGGACTATATATACTTGCAGGCTTGCAAGATTGATGTTAACTTTGTGAGATAGACCAGGAAGAAGATTTAGCTTAATGAGCTAATTCTAATTTATGAAAGGTTGTAAGGTTACAATAACAGAATCTTGCACATCAGAAAGAACATCCCCCCCCCCCTCTTTTACAGGAAGATTTAGTATCTGTGTTTGATTATAAACTGTTTAATGTTCAATGACCTGGTAGATTTTTATTTTATTTTTTTTAAAGGATAAGGTCTACAACCAAGGGCCAATCAATAAAACAAATACAAGGGCAGGGAAAGGCGATGATCTAAACATATGTCAGATCAAATATAGGCTTATATGTTGCAATGTTCTTTCTTCGTTTTATTGACCAAATTTCCAGACTCCAAGAACCTTTGTAGGAAACAAAAGTTTACACTAACAACACTAACAAGTAAGCAAAAATCAATTCAAAATGCAACTTCTCTTTATGCAGTGAGTACACAAGCTGCCTTCAAGAGTTCAAAGAACATGTATTATCTACATCTACTTTCAAGCGTCTTCTTCTCTAACACCACAATTCAAAACAACCGTGTTCACTCTCAATTGAAGGGGAGTTGAGAGTGAACATGCTTGTCTGGAATTATCATATTGGAGAGGACTCTTGAGAATTCCTTGGATTGCAAGGAGATCAAATCAGCCAATCCTAAAGGAAAACAACCCTGATTGTCCTTTGGAAGGACAGAAGCTGAAGCTGAAGTTCAAGTACTTTGTAATGAGTACTGAGACTCCTTGGAGAAGGCCCTGATGTTGGGAAAGATGGAAGGCAAAAGGAGAAGAGGATGGCAGAAGTTGAGATGGTTAGATAGTGTCATCAGCACAATGAACATGAATTTGGGAAAACTCAGAGAGAGAGTGGTGGACAGGGGACCTGACATGCTATGGGTCATTGGATCATGAATAGTCACACAGGACTTAGCAACTGAATAACAAGATCAACACTTGTCTTGACAACCTTCATGAACAGATGGGGAGGGCCTACAGCTGTAGAAGTCAATTCACAGAGTTCTGAATCCTAAACATTTACCAAGAATGGTGGTGAGAACGTGAAAGGGGAAGAGAGGACTGAGGACCATTGACTCTTCTTCATTCGATGTATTTGAAAAGGCCAAATGCACCTTGATTATCTGAAGAATAATCACTATTCCCGGGATTGTTTTTAATGAGTAACCCTTCCATTGGATGCTGCAAATAGCCATCACCTTACAAGGCAAGATTCCAATTAAGGTCCAATTTACTAAAATACTTTTGGGCATCATAAAGAAACTATGGCCAACTTTTTAATGGTTTCAGAAATCTCTAGGTAGCAAAGGATTTGCTTGCAAAAAAAAGGCAATGCAGAACTTGGCAGCCACCAAACAAGTGATTTTTTTTAAAAAAAAGTTATTTCGATTTGCCAATTATTTCCTGTGTGTTTCTTACCATTTTAATTAGGCTCCCATTGTAGCTATTATTAATAGTGTCGGCATTATCTTTTTCTTGGTTCCTATGCTTTAAAAGAAACTAGCCAAGATTTGGTAGTTTTTAATAGTAAATCGTTCGCTTCCACCATCCAGAGAACGAATCCTCATTAACACAGTTCGAAGCATTACAGATGAAAGAGGGAGGATGAAAAGGGAGTTGTGCTGTGTGAGACATTTATTGTCACCACATCAAAGAGTTTGTTTACCTAACTTTGACACACTTAACATTGATCCATTACTGTGTTTCCTTGGACAGTTTTAGATTAGTCTTTCGGGAGGTTAATCTCAAAATCAGCTGATAGTTTTGGAAAATAAAAAGGGTGCTATTTGTCTATGTGATGTGATGAGGCTATTTACTTTATTGCATAATTTATATCCTGTTCTGATTGAAAAGATTGATAGAGGAGGGAATGTCACATAAACTAAGCAATGAAAGCAGAAGAAATAAGTGTATACCTGTGATGGTGAACCTGTGGCAACATATGCCAGAGGTGGCACACAGCACCCTCTCTGTGGGTGTGCGAGCTGTCAGCTCAGTTCAGCTGTGCCACGCATGTGCACTTGCCTCCTGCTGGCCAGCTGGTCTTTGAGTCTCTGCCACACGGTGGGCGGGGGGCATGCACATGTGCAGGGGGCATGTACGGGGCAGCACATGCGCAGGGACCGCACACACATTGCATTTTGGAGGTTCAGGGGTACACGCGCATTCGCATATGTGCACGCTTTGGGCTTTAGGTCCAGAAAAGGTTAGCCATCACTACTATATAGCAAAATTGTCCCTGGAAGTTACCTGAACCTGGGTTGAAAAAGATTCATCACTATTTTAATTCATGCTTTAGAAATTAATAGTGTCAATA